GTGTTCTGTCATTATATGCTGATTTGATATGGCTAAAATATGAAGATTCAGAGCGTGCAGATATTTTATTTAATCAAGCAGTTGAAGCAGCTCCTGATGATAGGTAACCATTAATATTTTTCTTCAATAGATATTACTTTTTTTTAATTGAAAAGTCTAACACACATACAATTTTGATGATGTAGTTATGTTATGGCTTCGTATGCTCGATTTCTTTGGGACGCTGAGGATGAAGATATGAACGATGTTAGCATGCATTCAAATTTCTTGCAAGAGACTCCTATAGCTGCTTGTTATTAAACCGACTATCTCGTGTGTTTTATTGCAAATTCCGGATCAATTGGACTGATACTGAATCGAACTGAACCAGCGCGTGTTTATTCCTAATAGATATTTCCCGTAACCACTTTTTGACCGTCATGTATTTAATTTAATCAAAGCTTTGTTGTAAATCTGAACATTTTACATTGAGTAGGATTTCTTATTTTATTTTTTTAATTGAGCCAAAGTATGTTTATATGTTTCTTTTAAACAGATTTACTAAATGCACTTATTATTATTATTATTATTATTATTATTATTATTATTATCAATTTTGATTATGCTAAAGAACGCTAAAGCTTCCATTTTTGTAAGAAAAAAATAAAGTAACATTATTTAGAACAACTGGTGTTACAATATGAGTTTAGTCACACTAAGTATCATTAAATGAAATGTACAATTAAATGAATTAGATAATATCACATTTAATTGAATATATCACATAATACTACATAAACTGGTGTTATAGCATCACTAATAATAAATAACATTATTCTATTGAATATAATGCTGCATCGTAACCGCTATTTGTATTGATTGAAATTCTAGTATTAAAGATAATTAACTGCATAATTTTGTTGATCCTTGTTCATTCAGAGAAAAGTTATTTCAGAATAATATTATAATTTTTTCTCCCATAATTTATATGTCATGGTCAATTTTTTTTAGTAAGGGTGAAATTAGAATTACAATTTAATTGGAGACAATTACGAGGTATACTGTTTTAAAAATTAAATATTGAAAAATACTGCAAGTCAAACATTATTGACAATTACTAGCAATCAATTCTTCATCTTCTTCTTCTTTTTTTTTTTTTAGAAACTGATAAAAAATCATTCATTATTTAACATATAATTCGCATTTTACCTTTATAAACTTGCTGCAATTATCTCACTTCCTTATCAGATTACCCAACTCTTTCTTTCCAAATAAGCTTGAGATGAGATGCCAAAATTTCTTTGCACTGAAGGGTGATTGGGAAGAACGTTCTCAATTTCCTCAACTTGTCCGATCGAGTTCTCACCATTTTTAAGGACATACAAAATCGATCAACATCGATCAGTGAAAATCTAAGTAGAGATCGTTCATTTTGTAAGTGATATCAAATGCGTAAAGAACAATAGTAATAAGATATCAAATGATTTAATTTTTTTCACAACTTTTTTATAAGTTTGACTGTGCCCCTAACTGAAAATGTCTGTGTCAGGTACTTTGTACATCATGGTTGATGACAAGTTTGACAAACTTTCATGTGCCAGCAATTGCACCAATGATTTTAAACACATCCATTACATCACTGCCAAATTCCATCCACCTAGGGTAATGTCATTCATGGCATCAATTAAGAATGTACATCTAGCTTAATTCAAACTTGACAGCTTGCTTAGATGTTTAAATTGTTATTTTGTTTGGTTATATAGCTTTTGTATTTAGATAAAAAGGAGATATGGAGAAGACGGAAAATGTTTGGGGTGTCAAAATAGGGAAAAATTCATAAATAAGGTTTTTAGTTTACACCAATTCAAAAATCATGTTTATAGTTTGAAAATNATAAGGTTTATAGTTTGAAACTTCAAAAATCAGGTTTTTTTTTTTTTTAATTCTAATATAATATAATATAATAAACCCACCCCACTTGCACCACCCCTACCGCTCCGGGGAATATTCCGGCGACCATTCCGACCACCACTATTCTCTAGCGACCATTCCCATGACTGCTCCGATTCCGGCGACTATTCCGACAATCATTTCGATCACAGATTTGTAATTGAATTAGTCACATATTATTTTTCAGTCACAAATACTAATTTTTATACGTCACAGATTTACAATTTAAGGTCACAGCTCAAAAATTTTGTAAGTCACAATTAAATCTTTGGTCACAAATTTCAAAATTAGTTTGCCACATATCAAAAATTTTATGTCACACAGTCACAGATTTTCAAATTAATTATAAGTCACAAATCACATATTTTAAAATTAATTGGTCACAGATAAAAATTTTGCACGTCACATATTATTTCGAGATCACAGATTATTTTTGAATCACATATTATTAAATTTTTAGATCACGGTTGAGTAAATTTTCACAGACTACCAAACATTTGGTCACAGGCTACCGCCACTACCACTATGGCCACCACAAATACTTGGTCACAGGTCAACCAAATAATTGGACACAAACGATATCCCACCACCGTCCCCACCACCAACAACCACCACACCACTATCACCACACCACCAACAACTACCTCCACCACCAACAGAACCGAACAACCACCAACACCACTACCACAAACAAACTGCTAGATCTACCACCCACCGATTCACCACCACTTTTCACCACCAAACAAACAAACTGCTAGATCCACCCACCGATAACAACCACCGATAACAAACTGCTAGATTCACCAAACAAACTGCTAGATCCACCCACCAAACAAACAAACTGCTAGATCCACCCACCGATTCTCCACCACTTTTCATCTCAAACAAACTGCCTCCACCACCACCGATTCACCACCACTTTTCAACTATAAAAAAACCACTTCCACCGCCAAAATTCAATAAACCCACCGCAACCGCTAGATCCACCACCCACCACCACAAAATCGCCACCACACAAAACACCACCACCACCACCCACCACCACCACTACACAATACTCACTACAACCATTGTCGGCGAAGCGTCGTGGTGAATAGATGTCGCGATTGCAGCATCGCGAAGGACATCGATATATTAAATAGCAGCAGCCTTCGCAACGGACATCGGCAGTTGCAGCGTCGTTAACAGCAGCGGTGGCCTTTGATGCCGCAGAGTAGCCGACCGACGCAACTCCTTCGTCGGTCGACGACGTTTGAAGGGGAAGAAGAAAAGAGAGAAGGGAGAGATGTAGAGAGAAGAAGAATGGTGAAAATCGGGTAAAAAAGAGAGAATGGAGAGAAAATGAGAGAGAGAATGAAGAGTGATGAATAATTAGGGTTTGGGTGGATGAAGTTAATTTAATTTTAATTTTAAGATATTAAAAAGTTTAAAAGTTTGGGTGGATGAAGTTAATTTAATTTTAATTTTAAGATATTATAAAGTTTAAATTGATACCTGATTTTTGAAAAATAATTTATCCAATCTGATTTTTGAAATGTGATTTTGAAATACCTGGATTTGTGTAATTTCCTCGTCAAAATAATTGGGTGAGTTCAATTGGCCCACCACATCTAAGCCTGTTACAGGCCCAACATAGGTCTTGTCATGGATTGGCTTGCCTTTCTAAACGTAGGCCTGCATAATTGGATTGCGGCCTATATGGCCCATCATTCCCAAAGAAATGAGAGTTCTTGGTAAAAATCTCAATTGAATAAGTTTTATCTTGTTTTCCGAATCACTTTTAAACAGATAAAAATATCAATAATGCAACTACAGGATCTATAATTAAAGTTTTCCATATGCATTTTACAAAGTTGTGGGAATACATGCAATTTTCATTGTTTAGCCCCCGTTTGGGCCACCTTAAAATCTCATTAAAATGAAAAATATGACTGTTATTCTTCACATCAACATTTAAATTCAAATTTTCTATCTCTTGTGTAAGCCTCAATAACGGCTATATTTTCCATTCTCATTCTACAATAAGGTGGCTCAAACAGGGCTTTAATACAGGGATAATTACATAAAACCAGCTGTTTACTTTTAAGTTTATGAAAATCAGGTTTAAGCTTTTTTTAATCAAAAATCAGGTTTATCATTTTTAATTAATAATGATATTATAAAATTAAAATAACCTATATACCCACCCTACTACCTACCCCCACCAAATTTATTTTAAATATAAAATCCTAAATCTATCCAAAACCCTAACATAATCTATTTTATTTTCATTTCTCTCCTCTCACATTTCTCCCACCACGCCGCCGCCACCACCGCCGTCACCTCTCCACCACGCTGCCTCCCTTCTCCTCTCCCTCCTCCCTTCCTCCCTCAGTTGCGATCGCAGCAACGTCGCTGCTGAACGGCAACCCCTTCCCCTCCCCTCCCCCTTCATAGCAGCGACGCTGCTGCCTCTTCCCCATCCCTCTCCCTCTCTATGTGCTGGCTTGCTGTCGTAGGCACCCAAAAATAGTCCTTAAACCTCTAAAACTAATGTAGTAGTGGAAGTAAGGGTCGATCCCACGAAGAGTGTGTAATTCAATATTTTATGTTTCGTACAATGATTGGGGGGATTTTGTATTCAACAATTGTAAATAACATAATCAATAACAATGAAAATTAAATTAACGAAATCAATCAAATAACTAACCTTGGTCTAAGTCCACATCCACCATCGGAAATCCACAATTGATCATAGATACAAGGATAATT